AAAAAAAAACGGTAGGGACAGTAACAACGGTAATAAATAACACCAAAAGGAAAAGTTGGGGTGAGGCGAGGAGAATGACAATAGACATGATGAAATGGAAAAATTGCATCATTCAGTATCCAATGGCATGAAGGCGATAGCTGTGAGACACGGTGAAAGGTGTCTGATAGGTGTAGCAGGAAAACACATTACCCTTCTTAAACTCTTAGTATACACCCTTTTATTGGTGGCGATTTCTGTTTACGTATCTCCCTGTTTCTGTCGTATGGATTCAGAATTCCGATCTGTTTTTGTATAACATTGTTGTTTCCTTTACGTTGTTCCACTTATCTACTCCTGTATGATACGAAACAAATGTCTTCAGCAAAATATCAAAACTGAAGTCAAAAAATTTGTCATTGTTTGTTCTTTCATGATTGGATTAGATCAAAAATGGATATCTTAATGCAAGAACGGAAGAGGTATTCAGTCATCGTTATCCCAATTTGTTATCCTGTCCAATAATTTAATTCTAAAATTAGAAAAGAAAACTTGTATTTCCACAAATACGTGTAATTTTCAGTTACAATGATTTGTATGTTTTATGTTTATACGTCAAGCAATGCCGTGTTTTAAATCCCAATGCTCGTGCTATGATGAGCCAATAAAGTTAAGCCACCGGCTCAACAGACTCACTAACGTGTACATGTACTCTCTCAAATAATGACCTTATAAGGCAATTTCCATATCTTTGCTGTTCGTCCAGAATCTGTCCATGTCATCTATTCTAAAACGAAGTATATTACCTGGATTTCCAATGTCAAAAGACATGGTTGCAAACAATTATACTTTTTCTCTTTTGGAAAAAAGTTGTATTTTGTGTATAACGTCATCAAAATCTGTTCTCATTGTTAACACAAACCATTAAAAAAGCGTGTTACAAACCATTTTCAAATATTATTTAATACCAATGTTTAAGACATAATATAAATGTTTTGGTACAAGACATAACAGTAAGTGAACAACAAAAAAGTCCAAATTGTATCTTTATACAAAGTCCAACTCGTGTTTTTAACGACATAAAGGCCTTTCTTCTCAAATTTTTACTTAACCTACAGGAATTTCATTTGTAGTTGAGAAAAAATCCAGAAACGCCATTCTGAATGAATATTATAATGTAAATATCACCAAATACTTGCTGTGTCTCTCAGCAAAATTGAATCACCTTTGCCAAAGGATACACTAGCTTAGTCACAACTTAGTCAAAATACACTAAAGTGTTGTTGTTGGATGCCATGCCATTGCAGAAGCTCACTGGTTTTCAGACCAAATGAGCTTAGAACTTGCAAATACATTAAATAAATATAGTATGGTATGATGCAGGCCATCTCACAACAAGAGATCTCAGAGGGATCTTGGCGCCCACCATTGTACTGTCTTCATTAGTTCCATGTCAGTTTGATCTTTTCTCTTCTTTTCTCTTATCTGTTTGATCAGTTTGCTTGTCCGCCATCTTAATCAATCTTTTATCAACCTCAAGGACTCAGGACCAAGGGGAAACTACATATCAAATTTGAGAAAAATTACTCCAATAAATTCTAAGAAATAGAGAAAACAAACTTAAACTGTAACAAGATGGCCAGCTGATATGATTTGATATGCATAACTAAGAACAAAAGGAACCCTTATGTGAAATTTGAGAAAGATTCCTCCATAGCGTTTTGAGCAATAGGGCTAAAAAACTTTTACTCACATATTCAATTTGACCACCAGCCAGCCATCTTGTTTTTCCTATTATCCCCAAAATTCAAAATGCGGAACTAGGAACCATTGGGAACTATAATGTGAAATTTGAGGAAGACCCCTCCTGAACATTCTGAGAAATAACGCTAACAAAATTTCATTCTCAAATTCAAGATTAAATGTATGAAAGTGATTGCAAGCCTTTGTTGTTTGTTTTCACAATTATAACCATTACTATTATCCATATGTTGTAAAGCGCCTTAGAGTAATTTTACAAATTATATAGGGCGCTATATAAATGTTGTATATTATTTGTATATTATTATTATTATTATTAAGATCGATGCCTGTCGGCCATTTTGGTTTTGTGATCAATCCCAAAAAACAATATGCATAACTAGGGATCATGGGGAACATATATGTGAAATTTGAGAAATATCCAACCAATACTTTATGAGAAATAGCGCAAACAAACTTTCATTCTAAAATTCAAGATGGCTGGCTGGACTACGAATGCATGGTGATTTGAATAGCTAAAAATGTCAGAATGATAAGACATTTTCCTTACTAAAACAACAGTGTTAATGAAATTGGACAGATTGCTCTTTTCAGTTTTGGTCTAAAACATAATAATTTTGGCAAGGCATCGCAAACAATATAAATAATAGCTCAATGAGGGAAGTGATAAAAAAGTGCAAAAGGAGACTTAGGGTTCAGAATGTCAATGTTCTATACACAGTAACAGTGATAAAGTGCAAAAGGAGACTTAGGGTTCAGAATGTCGATGTTCTATACACAGTAACAGTAATAAAGTGCAAAAGGAGCCTTAGGGTTCAGAATGTCAATGTTCTATACACAGTAACAGTAATACAGTGGAAACGTCGCCTCATTTCAAGATTCATGAAAATCGCGAAAGTCTACAAAATGATGGCAACAAACATTCTTTTTAAAGTAATAATGACCTTATTTTTGACCCTAATGTCAAAATGCAAACTTGTACAACAGGTGATGTATGTGAGCATGTGTGTGTAGTTTCATGAAAATCATTTAAGATTATCTTCAGAGCAATGATACCAAAATAATTACTATTCACAGTAATTGTGGTCTCGTCTATAAATCCCTTTAGATGATATAGGAATCTGTGACTTTGGCCTTTGTTACATTAACGAAAAGAACAATCCTGACATACCCATCGCTATGCGAAGTTTGATAATGCACATGAAAGCATGAGGAAATCACTTGTGAGGAAAGGTTAAAAGCTGTTGCTAGTTAATGAGACTTGGACCTTTCATTTTGTGATCCAAACACAACTACATGTAACTACACATAATGAGGTTTGAGAACTGTAGGAAAAACTGAAAATCTGTTTGTAGTAACAGTGAACTTAATTTACCTTAAACAGGTGTATTCTCATACAACATCATGAACATGTCCTATAACCTACTCAATCGTATTATTATATAGGACCATTCTACATTAAAGGAAACTTTAGTTATTTTACAGGAAGTGAAATACATTTATGATTTAGTAACAGTGAAAGTGGTGAGGTGAACTCAAATGCAATCCAACTAATTTGTATTAATTTGGGGTATCAGTGCGAGGTATAAACACTGTATACCAGGAAACCTTCACCAAACCAAATATTCGACCTTCACTGGTGAATTCCATATTCAGCCAGTGTTAACTTCACCCTTCACTGGTAAAATTCATATTCACCCAGCCAAATATTCACCCTTCACTGGTAAAATTCATATTTACCCAGCCAAATATTCACCCTTCACTGGAAAAAATCATATTCACCCAGCCAAATATTCACCCTTCACTGGTAAAATTCTTATTCAACCAGCCAAATATTCACCCTTCACTGATAAAATGCATATTCACCCAGCCAAATATTCACCCTTCACTAGTAAAATTCATATTCACCCAGCCAAATATTCACCCTTCACTGGCAGATTCCATAGTCACCCAGTGTTAACTCTACCCTTCACTGGCAGATTCCATTGTCACCCAGTGTTAACTCTACCCTTGACTGGCAGATTCCATGGTCCCCCAGTGTTAACTCTACCCTTGACTGGCAGATTCCATGGTCCCCCAGTGTTAACTCTACCCTTGACTGGCAGATTCCATGGTCCCCCAGTGTTAACTCTACCCTTGACTGGCAGATTCCATGGACATCCAGTGTTAACTCTACCCTTGACTGGCAGATTCCATGGTCCCCCAGTGTTAACTCTACCCTTGACTGGCAGATTCCATGGTCACCCAGTGTTAACTCTACCCTTTACTGGCAGATTACATGGTCACCCAGTGTTAACTATACCCTTCACTGGCAGGTTCCATGGTCACCCAGTGTTAACTCGACCCTTCACTGGCAGATTACATGGTCACCCAGTGTTAACTCTACCCTTCACTGGCAGATTACATGGTCACCCAGTGTTAACTCTACCCTTCACTGGCAGATTACATGGTCACCCAGTGTTAACT